ATGGACAAATTTTGGCTTTGCGATTTGTGCCATGAAAAGCGGCAGAAAAGGAAATCGATCGGACTAACTTCGACACCGAGCCTACCTGTTGCCAGTACTTCAGAAATTGATGCAAATAACAACCACTTCTCCCAAAAGTTGGATAAAATTATTGTGCAACTAACATCACATGAAAGTAAACTTTCAGATCTAAAAAAATTAAGCATCATTGAAAATAAATTGTCTGAACTACAAAAAGTAGTACAAGTGTTTAAGCAAACAATGGATACAATTATTGATGAAAATATTGTTTTGAGAAATGAAAATGAAATACTTAGATCGGAAATCGAAAAAAACACTATCACAATCGAAAACAATAACCAAGAAAAGTATTCGAAAGTCTTAGAAATATCAGGAATTAACATTAACAACGATACTGACCCAGTCATTATAGTGTCAAAGGTATTAAATGAACTGAACGTTGAATTAAAGTCAGATGACATAAAGAATGCTTATCTAGAGCCGCACCAATCAACAAATTCAGGTGAGCCTCCTAAAATAGTTTTTAAAGTAAAAAATATTGAAATCAAAGAAAGAATTCTTAAAGCAAAAAGAACCAAAAAAATTACATCAGATAAAATTGTTCAGAATCCGTCTGGTTTTAATTCAGGAACAGTTTATATTAATGAAAAGCTAACCAAGTATTACAGTTTTCTATTTAAAAAAGCAAGAGATCTTAAAAGGAGGGGTGCAGTAAAATTTGCATGGGTAAAACATGGTAGAGTGTATATTAGAATAAGTGAAAAAAGTAAAATTAAAAAGATTCTAACAGATAAAGATTTCAATTTTATTAATGAGAAATAATGAATTAGATTTAACTCTACCAACCAATGCAAAATTTATGCTAACAGATGAAGTAGAAAGTGTAAAATTTGAAAATCGCAAAAGTTTCAAGATTTTCTATGTTAATGTTAGAAGCATAAAAAATAAATTAGATGACATTAAATATATCCTGGATTGTATAAATGAAACTATTCACGTAATTATTTTCACTGAAACATGGGTTTTAGAAGATGAAATTGATTTAATAAATATTAAACACTATAAAAAAATATTCGTATGTAGAAAGAAGCGCAGAGGTGGTGGAATTGGAATTTTTATTAGAAATTCACTCGATTATAAAATTCTCAATTCTTATAATGACAATATTAACAATATTCTTTCACTCTCAATCATGTGCGCCTCAAATCCACTATATCTTACTGCAGTTTATAGACCACCAATAAATGATAAGCAAAATGTAGAAAACTTCCTAAACGTTCTTGATAATTATCTAGAAAACATAAATAAAAAAAATTCAATTATATTAGGTGATTTCAATTTCAATATACTTAATGAAGATGACAATTTCACCAATATGTATCGTAATATAATTCTATCCAATGGTTATAAGTTCTGTAACATACTTCCAACTAGACCTTCATCAGGAACTTGTATTGATCATGTACTTAAAAATAACATTAAAAATAACATTATCACAAAAAATTATTATAAATATGATTAATTCAAATTTATCAGATCACAATATTTTCTTATTAGAACTTAATCAGGTGATGAAAGTAAACAAAGAAAACAATGTCAAGGTAATTAAAAAAATAAACGTCACTGAAATAAAAAAACAGCTGGCTCTAAGTAACATTGATTTCTCATCTAGTGCTGCCGTTGACATATATGGAAATATAGTAGAAAAATTAACAAATTTGATAAAAGAAAACACATCCATCAAAAGTACTATGAAAAATAATAATAAAAACAAAATTTATAGTAAGCCATTTATAGATAATGAATGCAGAGAATTGATAAAAAAAAAGAATTATTGGCATAAAAAGCTGTTACAAAACGAAGATAATGAAATGAATAAAAACAAATATAGGTACTGGCTGAATAAATTCACTGCTACTAAAAGAAAAAAACAAAAAGAATACGATAGTAAGAAATTTTCTAAATGTTTGAATAACCCACAAAAAATTTGGAAAACTATAAAGGAAGTAATTAATGATGATATTATTATTGAAAAAGAAAATGAATTCTACAACGGGTGCAAAAATATAAAGGATAAAACAAAAAAAATTAATAGATTTAATTATTTATACAGCACTATTGGAAAAGAAATGGCTAATAACTTTGATTCGGTTAATTACTACCCCAGAATAAAAACAACCAGTAGATTTAGATTTGAATACATCACAGAAAAAAAAACATTGGAATTAATTGGATCTTTGTCAAATACAAACAGTGCAGGATGTGACGGAATATCGAATAATTTAGTTAAAACATGTAGGAATGAATTAGTTAAACCTATAACCGAACTTATTAACACATCTATTAATGAAAGTATGGTGCCAGGTGCACTCAAAATTACAAAAGTTATACCTATATATAAATCTGGAGATAAAAATGATGTTAATAATTTCAGACCGATCTCGCTGTCTTCTATCTTCAGGAAAATATTAGAAACGTTTGTAAACACACAGATAACAAAATATTTAACCAATAACAACTTGATTTGCGATAGACAATACGGATTTACTAAGAACTCTAATACTAATGCGGCCTTATTTGATGTTATCACTGAAATTCAAGACTCAATTAGCAATAACTACAAGGTTGGATTGGTATTCTTTGATTTAACTAAGGCGTTTGATTCAGTGGATCGTAAAATACTGTTAAAAATCTTATACGAATGTGGAATTACAGGCAGGGAGTTAATGTGGTTTGCAAATTACTTTGAAAATAGAAGACAATATACTGAATGTGATGCAATAAAAAGTAAAACTAGGAAGATTGACTATGGAGTAATTCAGGGTAGTTCTTTAGGTCCGACGCTGTTCTCGTGTTACATCAGTAACTTTACATCAATAAAATTAAAGGGTAAATCATATTTATATGCCGATGATCTAGTTATAATCTATAAGGGAATAAGCTATGCAGAACTACAAAACGTAATCAGCTCGGATTTGAGGTTAATTGAGCACTGGATGTGCTCACATAAACTAAGTGTCAATCCGTTAAAAACCAAATACATGCTGATAAAAAGTAAATCTGAAACCTTAGAAATTAGATATAGGGGACACAAAATAGAAAAAGTAAACAAATATAAATATCTTGGAGTTGTTATAGATGAAGAGATGACCTGGAATGAACATACAAAAGAGCTGAAATTGAAAACAAGTAAAATAGCAGGTATGTTTAGAAGCCTGGGGAAACGAATTCCGTATGAGAAAAAGATGGCTGTATTCTATAGCATTTTTCATAGCACTCTAACATACGGGTTAGGTATATGGGGTAACACTTTTGTGAAAAATATTGACATGCTGCAAAGAACACAAAACAAAGCATCAAAGAACCTATTTGAGTTAAATTGGAGAACGCCTACGAATGAACTGCACCGTAAATTTAACATTCTAAAAATTGAAGACCAAAAGAACCTAATGCAGATGCTTCAAATTTACAACATGAACGCAAATCTTATTAAATCAAATTCAATTATTGTAAGTAGTAATCAAATACATGATTATCCAACTAGATATGCTAGTCACTTACGGTTTGCTATCACTAAAAATTTGAATGGTTTAGAATCAATAATGAAAACAGCAATTAAAGCATACAATGATCTACCTGCTCATGTAAAACAGCTAAATAGAAACCAGTTTAAACAAAAATGCAAGAATATGTTAATGGAGAAATACTGATAATTTTGAATATTTATATTATATAACATATACGATTGTATACATATATGTATATATATATATTTTTTTTTTCTTTTGCACTTTCTTTCTTCTATTGTTATTATATTTGATTTCTCATTGCTATTTTGATATAATGAATTAAGACTGAGTACATAGCTATTTGTGAAATTTGTGATGGAATTATAAATAAATATACTATAGGCATATTTTTTCTTTTTTAAATTTTGAATTTGTTACTACATAATTTATATATTACAATTTACTATGATTATCATTTTTCTATCATCTGAATATTGACAGTTTAACTTGATATTATTTACATAAATTTAATATACTGTAAATTGTTAAAACATATACTCTATACGAGCTATTATTGCTCTACTGAAAATAAAGTAAAATAAAATAAAAATAAATAAAAATAATAGGTATATGTACATAAGTATAAAGTTTTAAAAATGCATACATTTAGTTAGTAAGTCAGATGTATTCACGTTATATAAATGTGTTATACGTATATGACTCACGAATTCTTTCATGGTTTTTTGAAGAGCTATGGATGATGCGGCAATTTTGTATAACGGCATAAAGAATTAGCAAATGAAAGAATGTGTGTTTAGCTATACAAATTCTATAATTGCAGTGCAATATTCTCTATACATACTTTGTAATTTTTTATTTGGTATGATTTCAGTTTTTTCGTGAATTCCAAAATTCTGGATACTGAAATACTTGAATTACCCATTTTTATTCATTTCACAACAGAAAAATTGTTGTTTGCAAAAGCTATTGAAAATTAAAGTTTCATTTGTCAAAAAAAAAACTCGTTGCAGCTGAAAAAAGGTTTTCCCATTTATTTAAAATTAATCGTACATGTAAGGCCTTGCTTAATGAACTGCATTCAGAGAGAAGGGATATACACTATCCATTATGTTTAATCAACATAGGATATTTAACGAGTGGAGTGCGTACAGTGTGCAGTACTTTCGTTAAATATCCTTGAAATCTTAACTGGATACCATAAATAATTCTGCATACAATAAAGTATGCATTACCATCGTTAAATAACTTGAAAGGAATAACTGTCTATCTTTCCACCTGTATCTCGCCATTTCAACATTACATTAGATTACACTCTCTTTTTCTGTTATCTGAATGACCTCTTCTTGTTATCTGAAAATCATATATATTACATTTAAAATATTAGAATTATTAACATGAAATATTAAACTATATTATAAAAAAATAAAAAAAAATTGTTTTTGTATTTAGGTATTATGAGACTGGCAGTTTTAAAGCTGGTGTTATAGGCGGTTCAAAACCAAAAGTAGCAACTCCACCGGTTGTTGATGCAATTGCGAATTATAAGCGAGAAAATCCAACCATGTTTGCATGGGAAATACGTGATAGACTATTAGCTGAGGGTATATGTTCTCAGGATAATGTACCGAGTGTTTCATCAATAAATAGGTAAGTGAAATAAAACGAATATATTACTTTCATTTATGCACATGATTGTATTTTTAAATAATTGACATTTATTCAAAACTTATTTCAAACTACTATTGTTTTTACAATGTTGAATTGTAAATTTTATTTTCTTTAAAAATTCCAATTTTCGATACTTTTTTATAATAAATAGTTAAATCCGTGAGATTATATCTTAACCAGTAAGGTGGCCAAGAAGCTTAAAATTAAATTTAACAAACAAAGTACCAGTCTATTTAAGTTAACTGAAGTCTAAAAGATTAAAAAACCTTAGGATGTTCGATGCTCATTGAAAATTGTGTAACAGAAATCTAACAAACATTTTAAACCGGGCGACCATATTTCGTAAATTTTTAGTAAAACCCATCAATTGCAATGGCCCTTCTTCCTCATTTTGAATTTTGATCAGCGTGCAGTAAAAATATGTACGTAGCTGTACGAAAATTTAAAGTTTCCAGCTCTATGTTCTTAAATAAGCGTTTCTTAAACAATTTTCGGTGAGTCGATTTGATAATATACAGCGTGTTTTGCATAAGGTGGCAAATAATTTCCAGCAAAAAATTATATGGCTGGAGTTGAACGCAGTCAATTATATCTATTCTCGTTTTTAATGGGATTGATTTTTAATCTTTTGTTGAACTGTGTTAAAGAACTGTTATATTTTAGTTAAAAATTTGAAAAAATTCGAAAAAAAGATACATTATTTCGCAAATTCAATATTAATTTTTTCAAAAAAGACCGTGTAACGGTATTATTTTTTTTTCTGCAGAAACATGATGAAGGATTTTGAGCCTTTAATTTGGCTTATGGAAAATCTTATGAACGTCATTGATTGAAGAGATACATGCTTTTAAAATTTTTAAGTTTTTACATTTGAAAGCCTTTGTACTTTTGGCATTACGTCGCAAAGTATGAACTCATTATCTGAAACCATGTACTCGCTACAGTCCGAAGTTGTACCAAAGAACTTTGCTTAGGTATGTAATGAAATATTAGCATTTTTATAGCTCCATAAAACGATGTGAAAATCAATATCTAGGTCTAATCGTCAATCATATATGCATACACAAACAAGCAAACTTAAAAACATTCTAAATCTTTGTGTGTAACAAAATAAATTTATGGAGTGGTATTCCTCGCAAATTATATGAACATATTGAAAATTAATTTTATTTTCCTGAACGAATTGCATTTTAAAAAAACATAAACAAAAACATAAAAACAGTAAAATGTCAAAATGTCGAGTATCAAAACATATTTTTTATTATGTAAAATTTTACACTATAGAAAAAAAATCTGATGTGGTCAGCACATAACCGACCACAGGATGTATTGTCTAGTTAAGTGAAAGTGTTACAGAGTATTATAAAAGTGCCTGTTAAATACTTCTTTCCGATTTTTAGGGCATTAGTAAGCTTATAGTTAACACTAGTAAGCTTGTAGTTAATACCTAGAAAAATGTAAATTTGGCTCTTAGAAGAGTTTCGCTTTGTGCTACCCGAATTATCTGAAATGCTCACCAGTTAGTTTCGGTAACAATCTGAACTCAAATATCAAATTTCAAGAAATTCCATCAGTTCGTTCCGTAGATATGGGAAAAATTTAAAATCGGGCCTCGGATCAGTTTCCGAGGCCTCGCATTTCCATAATACGAAGAATTTAAATATTAAATTTCAATGAAATTGGTTAATTATTTCAAAAATGTATATTTGGCCCACAGTAAAATCCAGTTGCTGACACTTGTTTTCTTTCAAAAGTTAGGAGGTTTCGCGTGTGGTCGAATGAAGCTTACCATTAAAATTTCAAGTAAATCTGTAGAATATTTTTTTCATAATGATCAAAAATATAAAACAGGTCCGCTAAGAAGTGCAGCTCCCTAGGCCTGGTATATCCCAAAAGTTGATCAATCCGTGCCATGGTCAAAAAAAAACCTACATATAAAATTTCATTAAAATCGGTTCAGCCGAACTTGAGATACACGCGGCGTCCACCCACAGACCGGCAAGTTAAGTAGTTTATTTTCACTTCTCTACCATGGAGAAGTGCGTCCCCACCGAAAACTCGATATGCAAAATTTGTTGCCATCACATAACCTACCTATTGTATACAATACGGTCGGTAAAAATTAAATAAAATCTTATAATATCCTTTTTTATTACTTTTTGAATAGAACTGATTTCTATTCTTCATTAAATTAAAAAATAAAAAAACAACAATTTAATCATTGTAACTGAAATAATTAATTGTTTTATTTTTGTATAAAATAAAAATAATGTATATACATATATACATATGTATAAACAAATAATTGAAATTATTATCACTTCCCAAAGGACGTATTATTCACCGTAGAAATTTTTACAACACTCATGCAACCCTAAATTGCAATTTTACAACAATATTATATACATATTACAATAAAAATAAAAGACAGAAATAAAAATTAGACTGTCGTACACCAAGGCAATGTAAAAGTATCACATAGATTCAGTAAGATTATAATCTAATTTTAAGAAAATGTTGTTTCTGAAACATTTACCATACTGTAGCTTAACCAATTATTTAGTATGAAATTTTTGAATTAAGAATTACGTTTAGTACGTAATACGTTATATGCAGGATCACTTTATATACTTTTTTTTACTTTTGTAAACTACCGTGGCCAGGCGACCTTAACATGAAGTTTTTAATAATGTGTTTAACTTACATCGCTATATTTAAGCAAATTCTATTTTTATTAATTTGATAATCCTGAGAAATTTCCGAATAATAACGGTATTCAATTATCGTAAGTCGATTTAAATTTGTTTGATGTCCCATATAGTATAAGAAGAAACAAGAAAACGTAGACCGAAAGCTGCGAAAGCATATGAAATTTGAAGGTGAAATAAGAATTGGCAAAGTAAAAATATCTACATACATATCTAATTTATTTATTGTTACGTATAACTACGTAATTTTCTATAAATTACATTTCTAAAAAATTTTTTCCGGGTTCAACTATTAGACTCTAATAATAAGACTATGTGCTATTCTATAGTATACATTTATCACTTAAGATTTGAGTTTTATTTTGTGAAAACAACTTGTTTAGGACAACTTGTTTAAACTACTTTCATTCATATACCAAAATATTTTAAACTTGCATACATTTATGACGAGACAAAAAAAATTGAAGTTGCCGAAAATTTAAATTGTCGTTAATATAATGCTCGAATTCAAGGGTAAATTTCGTAGATTATGGCAAGTTATTATGGTTTTTTGATGACATCAGCTTTCTGCATTTATAAAAATTTAATACAAATTTTTGCAAAATTTCGAGCGGTGATGACTTTAGGGGGCGATGAAGGTTAAATAAATTTTTTTTCCAACAAGATAAACCATTATTCTTAATATATAAGTTGTATCACAATTTCATACCTCTACAACTAACATTCCAGAAGAAAATGATATCAAAAATTTGAAAATATACGGTTTTCTAGATAACGGTTAGTTTGAACGATCATTTTGTCATTTCCATGCTCAACTATGCTGTCTGTTTTCTATGCTGTTCAAAGGGTATACTAAATTTGCTTACGGTTTGTAACACTAAGAAATAATGGTCTGAGATATAGACTAAAGTATATGTTTTTGATCAGCGTCGAATTCTGAGTCAATTTAATTTTGTATATCCATATGTCCATGTGTCCCAGTGATTACTCAAAAACTAATTGAGCCAAGTTCATCAAATTTTCAAAAACTTTATTATAAACTAACTTTAAAACGTTTATTATAATAAACGCCATAACCCTATTCAAATTGGTTATGATCGAACTACAGATTCAGATACCTGACATACAACTTTCAAATTTATTTGGCCATATCTCAGAAACTATAAACGCTGTGGTATTGAAATTTTGCAAAATCGAATACATTATCAGGGCCAAAATGTTTGACAAAAGTTGTTGAAATTGGTTGGCTCCTTCTGGAAGCCGCCACGCCACTCCAAAAGTTATTTCGCATTATCTTAGAAGTTATTGGAGTTATAATATAGAAATTTCATGAAAACACGTGTATTATTAGGGCTTTTATGTGTGTTAAAAATTGTTGAAATTTTTTTTTTGTGGTAGCTGCCATACAACTTTAATATTTAGTTTGTAAATATTTTAGAAAATATTGAAAATACAGTACACAAATTTTGCAAAAGTTATTATAGTAATGCGGCAACTTAAAGTCATAGTCTCTGTCATAATCAGCTATGGCGTATTCACTCGCACATAGTACAACAAATTTGTATGGGTATCACAGATTTCTTCTCGTTTAAATATCTTATTTGTTTTGTTTTTTGTTATTTTGAGTTGTTAATAAAATATTTTCGCAATCTGCAATAAATGGTTATAAGAATTTTTATGATTTGTAGCTTTTATCAGAATATTACTTTATATTTAAAAGCATATCGACGAAAAAACATCCATTTTCAGAAAATCTCTAAAATGTGAAACTTAAAGTAATTTTTACATTTGTAAATTCTTTTCTCTCAATATTTCAGTGGCTGAGATATTTTTTCAAAACAAATATAAAACCTTAAAGATTTTTCTTTTCAAAGTTGTTTCAAACGTTTTTTTTTGCTGAAAATACGCTTAACATATTTTCTAAAAAAAATACAATTCAGAACTAAGTTCCATTATGCTTAATTTGGTATTAAAATATTATTTATTTCAACACTGTTCTTCACACCAAAATAAGAATTTATTTTAATATATGTAAATGTCCGAATGTATACAAAAATTTATAAATTAACATAAATTTATAAACGGTTGCGCTTCTATCAAAACAAAAGAGAAAGAAAAACATGTTTTATGAAAAATAAATGACTACTCTTGAAGAAGAAACTATATTATTGTATTTCTGATTAGAAAGAACACAAAACATGACAGCAATTTCACGTAAATAAGTATATAAATAAAAAAATCTGATGTGGTCAGTACATAACCGACCGCAAC